GTCTAAAAATAGTTATCTTATGCAAAATCTTGGTTAAGTTGAAACTAACAATTAAACGATTAGTCACTAAATTATCAATATAGTGTATTGATTCCAGCCTTAGATAGATTTTATCATCAGCCGTACAATAAATATCGAGAAAAAATTTTTGACATTATTCTTTCGATATTGAATGATAATTTTTGTAGATATATTCCTTGTGGCTCATTTAAAAGGTAGAATGGTCGATCTCACATTGAACGATACGGATGCGTAACAAGTTAAAAGTGTAAATAAAAAGTACCGATGACTTATGCTGTAGAATCTCTGTTAACCTAGAATTTATACAATTCATAGACTGTACAATGGGTTTTATGACCTTATAAAAGGTATAACCAACTTGGAAAATAGTGTGTTGAGTTAGATTTAGTGACAGTGAAAAAAATGGTTAATCAAATTCATCAAATTATTAATTAATAATCAGTTGTTAAATTTTCCTAACAGCGTAAATGTAAAGCAATGTTCTTAGCAGGAGAAATTAATAATTCAAAGGACATATACACTCTCTCGACAACCAACTTTTAGAGATGCTGTAGCATACGGATTACACATGGGTCTTATCGAAAGCAGAGTTTTGAAAATAGACATACGGCGTGGAATTGAAAGCAGATTTCGACATTCATAATGATCTATCTTGCATCGGTAAGTTATATTTATTGTAAATAAATAATAACTCATAAATTCATAATAATATTAAGGACAAATTTTGGAAGTTTGATTTTTCAGCAGTTCGTGGAAATATACAAAGGTTAATCAGTTTTTTTGTATTGGATTAAAGCCATTAAATCCTAATCAACAATGGCATTATTTAGAGTATACATTACGAAAGAATGTCTGGAATGCGAATACTTAGTACCTTAAAATCGATTTATCCAAGGCGCTGGATCATCCTGTAAAATTTGCTTTATCATTGGCACGATGGAAATAAAAGCCACGGATAAAAATAAGCTATCATACTACTTATATCATTAACATTCAAAATCAATCATATTTGTTTTTAAATCATTTTAAATCATATTTTATACAAAAGATAATATTCACATCACGACGAATTTATGAAATAAGACCATTTCGACTTACTATGAAATGCATCATTTACTATTTGTTTCTTATTGTAAAATCATGTAGATAACGTCTAACTCATATTTTCACAGGAAGATGGGTTAGACTTAATCTATATGATTTTACAATAAGAAATGTCAAAAAAAAAAAATAGTAAATGACGCTCTAATTTCATAAATTTCGTAATGATATTCATTATTTCGAAGATTCATAACGCATCAATCATAATAAACTACAATACCCCACATCTTACTTTGGAGTAAAAAGCATTTTTAATATCGAATCATATTGATGTGTAATATTAGAGTAAAATTATTAAGGATTGAAAAAGGAAAATATTTATTACGTTGAGTATTCTTATTTAGAGTGCCAAGTACTGCTTAGCTAGTTTTTTTTATATAGCAGCTATTGTTGTCAACATCTTTGGTGCATTTTAGTAAAACAAATAGTTATAATGTAGACCTTAGCTATAGTTTTTCTTTTATAATTAAATATTTGGTTTGTAGTGAAACTGTAATAGCTATCATTTAAAATTTTTCATATCCTCATTGACTAATAAATCAGTAAACTTTTGTAAATAAAAATTTGCAAACATTTTTAATAAAACAAAATGGCCTCTTTCTAGTTAAGGTTAATAATAATAATTAAAGTGTGTCTTTAAATAGATTATATTTAAAAAGACATCTTGTATTATAGAAAATTTCCGGTTTTCAAAGAAATATACCGTATTTATCCGTCACGAAGTACCCTGCAAAGATTTTGAGAACAATTTTTGATTTATATCGGGTACTTAAGTATGGTGCATGTTCTATAGAATAGGTGGGCAAATTCCGCAAATTCCGAACTCCGCTAAGTATCTATTAATGATTACTAATCATTTACGAAACTTATTTCTTATATTGCACACCTATTCTATAGAACATCCCAATAATTACTAGATGTTAAGTTTTACAATTTGAAATACTTCAAATTCATCTATATAAAAATCGCCAAAGGAGATTCTGATTGAATTGCTGTAATAATTTAAATGATGTTTCCATTTTTTATTACCATCCATCATTGCAAGTTCATTCGCACCAAACCATGGACCATCTGATATACCATAATAACGAATTGCATATTGTGCTTTTTTTACGCGACTAATATTAGAATTATTCTGCTTCTCATTTTTTAAAGAAAAAATAAAGCTATCAGCTGTTGTTGGATATTCACCATATAATTGATTAGAAACTTTCCAGATAAGAGGGTTATAACCGCCAAGTATCTCATTGGTACCACTGACCCTTAAAACAATCAAAGTACTAGGTATATTATCACATAACCTATGAAATACTTCACCCGTGAATCCATCCCTACTGCCTCTAAGTAAAAGTTTAAATTCATATGGAATTTTTGCAATATCATAAATTGTTGAGCATCGATCAATCCATGATGAAATCTCTGCCATGTGATTTAAGTTAATTAAGAAAGGATGATGTCGATAGAGAGCCCTTAAATCTAATACTTTTTTATAAATTTGAAATACTTCATATTCATCAGCAGAAAACCAACCAGTTTCATTCTTAATTAATTTATGAAATACGCATTTTTCATAATACCATTCATTAGGATTAGTGTCGCTATCACTTCCCATTCCAAGATCATTTCCAAACCATGGACCTTGAGGTTTTCGACCAATCCAAATTCCGCGTAATTTATCAAGTACACGACTAAGAATAGATTTCTTGAGATTTCCATTTTCTAAAGAGAAAATAAAGCTATCAGCTGTCTCGGCATATGCTCCACATTCGTCAATAGTACACCATGAGAGAGGATTATAACCACCAAGTATCTCATTTGTTTTATTGATTTTTAAAACAACAACAGTACCAGGTATATTATCGCACAATTTATGAAAGATATCAGCTGTAAAACCATCCCTACTACCTCTAAGTAATAGCTTAAATTCGTATGGAATTTCTGAAACATAAACTTCTGCACGTTTGTCGATCCATGAAGAAATTTCTGCCGCATGTTGTAGCGTAATTATAGAAGAAGATGGTGTAAAAACTGATGATTGTCGAGAAGGAAGTTGAGTTGTTTCTTTTTTACGAGGAGGTAAAATTGAAGAAGTGATAGAAATATCAGGATCTACAAACTTCAAAATTATATCGTCCCATACATTTTCTTCAAGAATACTATGATAAGGTTTAATTTTCTTTAAGACATCTTTACCAGGTATTTGAAAATATCTAATGTAAGGAAAACAATTTTGAAGAGTGTCTTTCAAAGAATTAAAATCTTCATTAGTCCATTCTTTAAAATCTAGCGGTAAGTTTGGAGTCTTATCCTTTCCCCACAAAATAACTTTATCCCAAATTTCAGATTCATCCATTTGCAAATCATCACGTTTTAAAAGAGCAACTAAAGCATTCTCTGGAAGAGAGGTAAAATCATCAGAATCAAAAATCATATTTGGATGTTTTACAATAATATCATTGCAAAATTGCTGTAAAACTTTAAAAGTTTCATTATTAAAATTTAATTGATAAATTTGAGAAAAATTTAAACGTAACCAAGATGCCTTATTATTAACTAGATGAAATTGAAGATTTTCAACCAATTCTGTAAATTTTAATTCATCAATAGTGATTAAGATATCTAATATATCTGATGCTTCAGATTCTTCTAATGAAAATACACCACTATAGATATATCTATGTAAAAATACCGATTAATATTTTTGTAAACATTTGATAATAAAAATATTATGTTATGACTTACTTAATAATTATCTTGAATAATTTAACTGAGGTAACTCAATTTCAATTAAATTATTTTCTTTTATCGCATTTTCTAATTTTTGACGAAAGTATAATGAACGTTGGTATAAGATTGTTGAATGTGCTTTAAAATGTTGAATATTTGCTTGTTCTCCGATTTTAATTACTACATTATAATCATATTCACTTTCTAGAAGCTCTGTAAAATCTTGTGAAAGTTGTTCAAATAATTTGAAAGTCATTTTTTACGAAAATGTTATGTAACTCTGTTTTTGATTTACATACTTATTCATATTTGTGTGTCGTACGGAAAATTCAAAAATTAATTTAAGATATCGACATGTGATTTGTGGCACGCATACATTATTGGTTACGAAATTGCATCACTATCGATCTATTCTTTCTTTATTACCGTATACAATTGAATAAATAGATTTACATAAAATAGCGTATTGCTTTATGTTAAAATTGCATTTTAACACACATGTTATTAATTATTGTATATAACTGTGCATTTGCAAAATGTGGTTTATATAATGAAATTTTTAATTTACTTAACGTAATTAGCATGTAGTTAATGTTTTATTTACCGTTAACATTATTTTTTTTCATGGTTTACAAGTAATGCATTATCTTAATGCTCAACCTTTCAAATTAACCTCGTTAATACTTCTATTTATATCGCATGACACCATCTAGCGGTGCATTATTTAATAATTTAATTTTAACATACTGATAAGATGAATATTTATGCTTTATTAATAATCGACAAGTAAAGAAAATAGTTTATGTTGAATTACCCGACAATTATTTTCAAACATTTAATCTTGCTCAACGCAAATTTAAATCAATCAACTTTAGCTGTTGGGAAATAAGAGCTACCAGTTCATCCTTCCAATCTGTCGATCTGTTGTTAAATAAGAAGTTTGGGTTTATAGAAGAGAAGTCATCCTGAAAATCGTACTGTAAAAGCACTCTCAAAACAATAATAAACTAGAGAGGTATATAAAATTTTTTTTTAAATATTTTAATTATCTTATCTATACTGTATTTGTTGATATAATTATTATATAGATTATATAGTGAGTATTTAGTGATAATATCCAATATATTAATAGTAAAATTAGTAGCTTTGACTCAATTAACTTCTGAATCTGAATCAATTATTTTCTGGTTTTGAAAATTCGTCATTTGGTCATATTGACGTTGTAGTCGGTCATATTTCAATACACTTTTTTTCAAGAGCTATTATAAAGATGCACATAACGAAAAAAAAAGAATTTAAAAAGGCTTTCTGGATGGTTATTACAGTATTTAGAATCTTACCTCCCATTGGTAATTGTCAAGGTAGTAATCTTGCAACATCGTTTCCAACATTTGTACACGATCTTCTAATGTAGCATCGTTACGTCGATTTGATACTTTTTGCGATAAAGGAATTCCTGAAAATGCGACGTATCGTTTTGCTAATTTTCTTTTAAGGCTTTAGTGTAATAATAACATGTCATAAAATAATATTAAGCAAATGGACGACTTTATTATAATAACTCGTGAATTACCTGCGTCTGCATGTCCCACATACAAATACATATTTTTGTAAAATACCCCTGTAATTATGTACAATTGTATTTAGCATTAATGAAGATTATGAGTTAGGAATTCTGAAAAATCGTGTATCGTAACGATAAATTAGGATTAGAAAAGTATTAAGTAATGTGTTAAGTTTTCCGAAATAGTATACAGCACGCGATACAGAATAATGTATATTACTATATTATATAAGAATATTTTATATAATAATACTATAATATCGATAAGACGTCACAAAATGACAATAAAGTAAAATTCTTTACTACTTTAAATTATATATAAATTACATACCATGGGGATAGTTTTGACATTCCAAACAAAAGAACATAAATAGAACTCAAGGCCACGTAGAAACCACCGATATTGGCCACTATGGTTTGAACTTTTGACATTTGCTATGAGATTAATGCAATGAGACATTAAAATTCACAAACAAACTTACTTGAATGAGAAGATTGCATTTCATGTCTGAGATATTGTCTTTGTATTACAGCAAATTGTATCTGCCTTCCATCAGTGAGTTTTGGAAGTGTCGTGATGGTGGGATTTAAATGAAATTGACTCTTTTCATTTTGGTAACCCATGAAGCGTCCCATATTGTCATAATAAGATCCTTTAATTGTGGGAGAAAGATTTATGACAGAACAATCTCCAGGTTCGAAGAGGAATGATGGATAACTAATGTCTGTATAAGAATTATTATTAACCACCATTGCGTCAAACTTGACGTATAACTGGTGATCCGAAATGCCAATTTTGGAAAAGTTTACGGATGATGGATCGTATTTTAATTTTAATGTTGAATCCAGGTTAAATTTGCGGAATGGTGGATCTGGGTACAAGTACTCAGATAGATTAAAAGAAACGTTGGTTGTAGATAACGCGGGCGCTAAAGTAATATTGAAACTCATTAAAGCGCTATCATGATGAAATTGAAGCGATGAATTGAATCGAAAATATATGCAATTTGATTTGTTTGATGAGATTTCACAGGAATTAGAATCAAAGTCTTGAATATTGCCATTTCCATCAGCTAAAAAGGACATAAGTTTATAATCGCATTTATAATTGGTGAATGACAAATTGGAAGCACATAAAAAGACACCTATCAGTTTATAACAATAATAAATAAATTGAAATTGAAGTTATAATGCTATATTATATATGCAAGAAGTCAATAGCTCGTACCTGGCATCGTTGAAGGAGTAATTAATATCTTCCTCTGTTATTACTACGACAAATTGCTTGCTTAATAAACTGATGACTTGATGAAACGCATAAAGTAAAATTGTAATTGTCAATCCGAATGCAACAACAACGCGGGTTATTTTGAACCAACAAGGTTCAGTGGTCTTTCTGTTAAAAAGCATATCGAAAAAAAACATTTTGATAAATTCCACGTAAAAATCTTTGATTATTATACTATGTACAGTGAAACCTCTATAAATGCACCCTCTATAAATACACACCCTCTCTAAATGCACACTCAATATCTGGCCCAAAT